GAAATTTTGGGGGAAAACATCTCATAGTATTTAAGTGTTTTATTTTGTGCCCCGGATCCACACTCACTGCATTGGCTTTGTTCCGTGTGTGTAGGTAGGGGCGGAGCCATATGGGGCCGGGTGCTGAAGCCCCCTGTAAGCACCCTATTTTTACACCCCCATCTAACCATAGTTAAGGTCTCTTAACCTTGGTTACCCCCTGCCAAATTTTGGCTCTGGGTAACCCTAGCCTAGTCCTAGATCCCCTAGGGATTAAACCCTAAGTCCAATAGGGCATGAATCCTTAGCTAGGCCCACAACGCCCAAAAATCCTAAACCCAAACTCCCAAGACCGAGTGTGCATAGGCCAGACCCTTTTCTTTTTAAATTTCTTATTGGTGTTAGAAGGTCTACCGCCAATTGAAAATTAGCCTATTTTCACAATGTCGGTAGATCCTTTACCGACACTCTTTGATGTCGGGTTTGCAGCACTGCAGACGCCCTGCACACTCCACCATCCATTCTACCTTCACCTCAACTCCTCCCACTCGACCTTCACTAGGTCCAATACCATTCCAAACCTTCCCTTAAATCCCATTTAGGTCCCTAGCTCTCTCCCTATAAAATCCCCAGCTCCCCCACAATGAAACGGTCTGCAAAAAATCCCAAGCTACTAGTTGAACCCCTGTTGGATCATCATTCCTTTCAGGCCTGTCTCAAGCTTTTGATGGCTTCACACAGCACCCAGGGACCCTCAGCTCCCCCTGCTCGGTTTGCACAACACCCTAGTCTGCACCACCACCGTGCACAGATCACCTTTCTTTTTAGAGAAATACAGAGCATTCGGGTAGGGGTATCCCACACCCCCCATTTTTCTCTTTTGCAATCACGTGAGCCCCTGATCATCTCCAGGGGAGTCTTTTTCCATTTATCTTGGTGTGTAGTTAACAGCCCAAGCCCACACAGGGTGTTCACCCACCTTGATTATAGGTGGGGTGAACCCCTACGGGTATAGACCCCTTCACAGAACTCTCAGGCCACCGCAGGACCTTCTGTGGGTCCCTAAGTTCATGAGGAAACCCCTAGACACCTCTGTGCACAGCCCATGGGGGCAAAAATTCGGTTCTTTTGCAAAACCAAGAATGACGGTAATCTCAGTACCGCCATTCCTGGCAGTCACTGTTTAAAGTTTGTTTGGCCTACTTAGGTGGGCCCTGGTCCATGTCTAGGGCCCAAAATGAACCCCTCTCATCTCCCTTGACCTCACCTGGTCCTTCCAGGTGCTTGGGTTAAGCTTAACCATGGTTAAATCCTTGAAAAACAGCTCTCTGTATATTGGCGGTAGACCTTCTACTGCCAATATCATTTTGGCATATTTCAGTATTGGCAGTAGAGCATCTACCGTCAATATGTGATTTTCAGACATTGCCTTTACACCTTTGTGGGGCCCACTCCAGGCATCCCCTTGGGGCCCACACCAGGCTGAAACATTTTTCTGGACTCCCCCCTACACATCCTTGGTTTCAGATCACCCTGGGTTACCCCCTAACCCTAGTTAACAGTGTGCAAAACCATGGTTAAAACATTGTTCTAAATGTCGGTAATCCAATTATCGACATTAATTTTGTTTTAATTCTGAGCTTTTGCAGGGGCCCAGGCCTGGTAGGAGGCTACTTTAGGCTCCGCCTAGCCCCTGGGCCCACCTTGGACTTGACCATACCTTTAACCATAGTTAAATACACCGCCGATTAACATTTAACTGTGGTTAAGCACCCCTTAATCTCACAAATCTTAGGAAATTAATTAAAAAAACCCTAAAAGTCAACTTGGACCATAAAACTGACTTTGGTCATTTCTTAAACCCTAGTTAGCAACCCTAACCACAGTTAGATCATTCTTAACCCCGGTTAGCAATCCTAACCGCGGTTACTTTCGATTTACGGCCTCCCCTTAGCCTACCGGGCTAAATCTCACATCCCCTTAACTGTTGTTAGCAACCCTAATCATAGTTAGCTTGGCCTAACCCCGGTTAGCTACCCTAACCCTGGCCAGACTCCGCCCTAGTCTATCGGACTACCCCTAAGCCTACCGGGCTTGTACTTTGCACTTGACCCTCCTCGGTCAATCAAACCCTAGTCTACCGGACTAGTCCATGTTAACCACCCTTGGTGCACACACACACGCCCCTAACCTCGGCACAGGCTCATGTACCAGAACTACGCTCGGTTTGATCTCACCTTGTGAGTACGTAAACAACTCAACCCGGGTTCGACCCCAGTTAGCTTTTCCTTTCTTGGATTAGAGTTAACTTAAACACTTCAGCATTTTGAACAAATTAACTTTAATTGACTTAAACCTGGGAAGTACGGAACCGTTGTAAAGCGGAAGCCTCGGGGTACCTAACACCTTCCCCGGACTTAACTGAACCCCTTACCCTGATCTCACTCGCAAACCAAGACTTTATCCAAACCCGGGAGATTTATCCATTCTGAATGAATAGGTGGCGACTCTTAAACATAAATAGACCTTCACACACCCGTGAGGGTATACCTCCCCTTGTGAGTGAGTAAAATCTCCACGCTCATACCTTTCATGAAATTTTGGGGGAAAAATCTCATAGTATTTAATAGGGGTGTAACCTGGGAGAGGGGCGGAGCCGGGGGCGAGGTTCTAGCCCCCTGAACGTTTGAGAAAAAAAATATTCTTTACAAACGGACACTAGCAGATGCGATGACCTATGAACTTGGCCCTCATATAAAAAAAGAAAAAAAATTTTGATTGAAAATCTGAAGGTCGCGCGTTCGATCCACGCTCACTGCATTTTTCTAATATATTTTTTTTGTTTTCATATATATAAGATCAAAGAGTTTTATTTTGTGCCCCGGATCCACACTCACTGCATTGGTTTGGTGTTGTGTGTGTAGGCAGGGGCAGAGCCATATGGGGCCGGGGGCTGAAGCCCCCCTGAAATTTTAAGGGAAAAAATCTCATAGTAGTTAAGAGTTTTATTTTGTGCACCGGATCCACACTCACTGCATTGGCTTTGTACCATGTGTGTACGCAGGGGCGGAGCCATATGGGGCCGGGTGCTGAAGCCCCCCTGAAATTTTGGGGGAAAAATCTCATAGTATTTAATAGGGGTGTAGCCTGGGAGAGGGGTGGTGCCAGAGGCAAGGTTCTAGCCCCCTGAACGTTTGAGAAAAAAATATATTCTTTACAAACGGACACCAACAGACGCGATGGCCCATGAATTTGGCCCTCATATAAAAAAAGAAAAAAAAATCTTATTGAAGATCTGAAGGTCGCGTGTTCGATCCACGCTCACCGCATTTTTCTAATATATTTTTTTTGTTTTCATATATATAAGATAAAGAGTTTTATTTTGTGCCCCGGATCCACACTCATTGCATTGGTTTTGTGTTGTGTGTCTAGGCAGGGGTGGAGCCATATGGGGCCGGGGGCTAAAGCCCCCCTGAAATTTTAAGGGAAAAAAATCTCATAGTAGTTAAGAGTTTTATTTTGTGCCCCGGATCCACACTCACTGCATTGGCTTTGTGCCGTGTGTGTAGGCAAGGGCGGAGCCATATGGGGCCGGGTGCTGAAGCCCCCCTGAAATTTTTGGGGAAAATTCTCATAGTATTTAATAGTGGTGTAGCCTGGGAGAGGGGCGGAGCCGGGGGCAAGGTTCTAGCCCCTGAATGTTTGAGAAAAAAATATATTCTTTACAAACAGACACCAACAGACGCGATGGCCCATGAATTTGGCCCTCATAAAAAAAAGAAAAAAAAATCTGGGGCTACGCCCTCAAAGCCCTATTGTTAGCCCCCTACCCGAGAATCTAGGCTCCGCCCCTGTTTGTAGGGTGTGTGTATATGTGAGTGTGTTTGAATATTTACCAAAAGAAACAAAGTCCCGCACGGGTGGGCTTTAAGTGTGATGATGTACATATATAACCTCACCTCCCTATTTATTTGAGAAGTTTGTGTGGGTTCATTGGCTTTGTGTCGTAGGTGGGTGGGTGGGTGTATGTAAAGTGTGCAAGTGTGCAAGTGTGGTGTATAGTGCGTGGGTGTGTTTACATTAAAAAAAAAGAAAAAAAGTTAATGAACTTGGTCATAAAACAAAAATTGAGGGCGTATCTCCCGAATCCTATTTCCCTGTATTCAAAATATTTCTTACCCGTCTTATAATTCTCCACAAATCATTATTTTTTTCAATCAACCACGACGTGCCCTCTCTACTAGAAAATACTGGCTCCACCCATGCCGTCACCCCGAAGAGAATGGAACCTTGAACACTGTACATGAGGATATATACAGTGCCACTGGCACAAGCCAGTTGTTTTACATTCATGACTGAAAGCTATCTTCTTTGTCTCCAACAATGTTCTCCTTGTGTAACAAGTTTCAGCAAGTGCAGGAGCAAATCCAATTTTGGCAAGAATTCCAAATACCAATTGATGTGGTAAAAAAAAAAGGGATTCAGCGAGCCATTTTTCAGATGTGGGAATTTAAATCTTCAAGACCAGACGAGATTTAATTTCTTGGAGAATTAAGACATTTGCCAATTGAAAAGACTTATTTCTTGAAGCTTGATCTCTCCCTCGGATATAGCCAATATTACTATTCAGACCAACTAGCTTATACAAAGTTTATCTTCAAGGTCTAAAGAACATCGTCATCAAAGTACGAGCAAGAAAAGCAGAAAATTTCTTGTTTCCTTGGATTTTTTTTTGGTGACGAGGTTATCGGGGCTTCTTAGAGCACCCAACTAAATCCCCCGGGCACTTGCAAACCCCCCAATCCACATGCATCAGAAGAGGGATAAATCCGAGGGTGACCAACAAGGGGAAGGGAGCATTTGAACTCAGGACCTCCGCTTCTGAGGTATTGTCCTAGCCATCAGCACCAACCCCCCTCGGATCTTGTTTGAACACTATCAGATTTTTTATTCCCTTTTTGTTGCCTCTAGAATTTAATGTTTAGTATAGTATGTAGATAATTCAATCCCCAACACATGAAGCATCAGTGGTCAAGTGGTAGAATAGTACCTTCCAACGGTACAGACCTGGGTTTGATTCCCGGCTGGTGCAAACCTTGCGGGCGGGGATAGCTCAGTTGGGAGAGCGTCAGACTGAAGATCTGAAGGTCGCGTGTTCGATCCACGCTCACCGCATTTGTTTTTATTTTTTTGTTGTTTTAAATTACAAGAGTTCATGTTTTATTTTTTTTATTTTTGGGCAGCGAATTTCCTGTGGCCCCATTGAGACACCCTTTAACTTTAGATTAACTCTGGTTAAAATATTTTAACTCTTATGGTTAATTTTTATATTTTAGTTTTCTAAAGACTATTTTTTTTAATCTAAAAGCTCATTTGGGAGAGTATCACATTGAAGATCTGAAGGTCGCGTGTTTGATCCACGCTCACCCACCACATTTGTTTTTATTTTTTTGTTGTTTTAATTACAAGAGTTCATGTTTCATTTTTTATTTTTTTGGGCACTAAATTTCCTGTGGCCCCATTGAGACACCCTTTTACTTTAGATTAACTCTGGTTAAAATATTTTAACTCTTGTGGTTAATTTTTATATTTTAGTTTTCTAAAGACTATTTTTTTAATCTAAAAGCTCATTTGGGAGTGGGAGAGTGTCACATTGAAGATCTAAGGTTGCATGTTTGATCCACGCTCACCGCAATCGTTTATCTTTTTTTGCTTTTTTAATTACAAGAGTTCATGTTTTATTTTTTTATTTTGGGCACCGAATTTCCTGTGGCCCCATTGAGACACCCTTCAACTTTAGATTAACTCTAGTTAAACCCTTGTGGTTAATTTTTATATTTTAGTTGTTAAAAGACTAATTTTATAATCTAAAAGCTCATTTGGAAGTGTCAGACTGAAAATATGAAGGTGGCGTGTTCCATCCACGCTCACCGCAATTGTTTATCTTTTTTCGCTTTTCTAATTACAAGAGTTATGTTTTATTTTTTTATTTTCGGCACCAAACTTCCTGTGGCCCCATTGAGACACCCTTTAACTTTAGATTAACTCTGGTTAAAAAGTTTTAACCCTTGTGATTAATTTTTAAATTTTAGTTTTCTAAAGACTAATTTTTTAATCTAAAAGCTCATTTGGGAGAGTGTCAAACCAAAAAAAAGGCAGAAGATATGTCGCATGTTTGAACTACATACGCTGTAGATCACCGCAATTGTTTATCCTTTTTTGCTTTTTTAATTACAAGAGTTCATGTTTTATTTTTTTTTATTTTGGGCACCAAATTTCCTGTGGCCTCATTGAGACACCCTTCAACTTTAGATTAACTCTGGTTAAAAAGTTTTAACCCTTATGGTTAATTTTTATATTCTAGTTTTCTAAAGACTAATTTTTTAATCTAAGGGTCAGTGAAACTAACCACAATTAAAATGAGTTAAAAGAGACGTGGTGAGTATGAGAACTAGAGTATATTCCTCTAGCCTAATTAGAGAAAATTCTAAACCATTATTGTGGTACACGCTAAAGGTCAATATAGCTAGTTTGTAGTCAATCCATTAGTGCCTCTATCATTGCTGACAGACCTCTCTTTTAATTGTGGTTAATTTTCTTTAATTATAGTTAATATGTTTAACTTTAATTTTATGAAAAATGAATGTTAAATATTAATCCTAAAATTAGGGAATCTTAACACACTTAAAAGAAGGGACTTAAAAGGAACTCAGGTTGACAATGAGAGTGGGTCGGTGCCCAAATCACAAAGAAAACTTCCATAAGTTTTTTATTTATTAGGATTTTTTTTTATAACAGGTGACTTCTTTATAACAACATCATCTAAAGAGGCACAAATTTGTCTATCATTATTCAAGAGGACGAATTTTCTCCACTATCAATGCAGCAAAGGCATCAGATTAACTCTGGCGGATGCCCCAGGTTCAACCTTGGGCGCACATTCTGCATCGGATATGTGGCAAAAAAAAAGGGGAGAAGTCATTTTCATTTTCTCTCCTGATTTTGACTTCTCCCCACTTCTGATATCTCTCCATTTTTCTCACCATATGGTGAATGCAGAATGTGTGCCCGAGGCTGTGCCTCGAGTGTCCGCCAAAGGTAATCCGATGCCTACAACAAAAGGAAGCTATACCAACCATTGTTGTCTTTATCATGGAATGAAGCTTATATTTTTATTTATTTCTTGTATGCTTCTTTTTGGGTTAAGGATGTAAAGTAACACTTAAATAACACAGACAAACCTAAGCTTATTACTAAGGTGCCAAAGGATAAACCCACTCGGTCACTCCAAAAGATCCTGACTAATAGAGGATTGTTGGACCCTTATATACCCTTGTGAAGTCTAGTACCTAATTGAGGTGGAACTAAAGTAGGACAGAAACACTCAGCCACAAAGAGGAAGCTTTTTCTTTTTATTCTAAAAGCTAAGATTAAAAGTATAAATAAACTTAAGGTTACACCTGATTTCAATATTCTGTATGCAAACAAAATTAAAACTATGCTGCACCGAAAATGTAGAATGGCGTACTTTAGTTTGCAAAATCTATAAGAGAAATGAAACAGTAACATGAACTTATTAGCGTTAGAAGATCGAGACATGTATTGTACATGCTGTTCTTAAAGTGAAATTCACCTCTTGTAATTTCTCGTTGACCTGTGATGCTCTTAGGATAAATGGCAGACACCTCTAGGATTCAACAATCAATTTCAGGAGATGGGAGCACTTTCCTTCCTTTGGTCTAAGCAAACTCAATTGTAAAAACTTAAAAACCGACCATATGAAAGAGAATATAGAGAGAGTTCAAAAGATATGTTTTATGTATTTTTTTTAATAGAGAAGAACAAACCCTTAAAATAAAAAGGAATTCTAGAAAAGAAACTCTCTAATACCAATACGGGAAAATGGCTTAATGAGTATTAAATCCGATTTAGTTAATACGAAATTGTGGTTTAACCAAATCCAACGTTAAGAAAACACTAAAGGAAACCCAAGAGCCAACAAGGAAATAGGGAAAACAAAGTTTAGCAAAAAGATATCCAAGGACTTGCGCACGCGACCTAGCTTGGCACGATGAGCCACGCGTATGTGTCTTTGATATATTGCGAAGGACGCGACCCGCATAAAGGGTTTTCAACTAAATTTGCCAAATTCTCATTGGGAGCCCTTGGGCTCTCCATGTGCGCAAGGACCAAACCCATTCACTTACAATTACCCATATAAGAAAGTATTAGAGGTTATAAACTTCACTCCAACTTTTCCTCCTCCGGACAGAAAATGTTAGATCTATAATACAAAACTTGTTTTAAAATCAACACACAAAAACAACACTTTGTTCACAAACAATTCTGATGAGAGAGCAATTGTGCAGCAAGTGGCTACAAGGTTTTTAATTTCGAAATTTTTGATGATTTCGGCCAGCCAACCCGAACTGAAATCCCGAAAAATTGCGGGATTTCGGCAAAATTTCCAAAACCAAAATATTAATATTTTATTAATTATATATATATATATATATATATTATTAATAGATTTATATTAAAAAGTAATATTTTATTAAAACTTTATATATTTATATAAATATTATTATTTTATTTTTAAAATTAATATATAAATTTTCAAAATTTCAGTAAAAATTAAGAAATATTTCGAAATATTTTGGAATTTTAATTAAAAAAAACTATTTAAAAAAAAAAAGAAAAGAGATTTCGGCCGAAATTCTGAAATCTTTGAAATCCAAAAGTTCACCCGAAGTTTAGCCGAAATTTGATTTTTAAAATAAACTCAGTTTCAATGTCGTTAGGGTTGTCCGAAACCGAAATTTCAAACCTTGAGTGGCTACAAAAGTGATGTCAGAAATGCCAAACTTAGTTTTTTGGCCAGGGTTGAAAAGAGTCCTCGGATTGTCTCTGGTGAAGCCAGAAACCCCTTGACCCCTTGTCTCGGGCAACCATAGAATAGGGGACAAGTGGTGGAGAGGTCAAAATCATGGGGAGAAAATGAAATGACTTCTCCCCTTTTTATCACCACATGTTCCCTATTCTATGGTTGCCCGAGACAGGTTTCTGGCTTTCGCCAAAGACAGATTGAGGCCTTCTAAAAGAAGTGAGTCAGGAATGCCACCTCATTATTTTTGGCTAGGGTTGAAAAGATCTTACAAAACGTTAACTCTAACCTTAAAAGCTTTTAACCCTTGGGGGTGTAGCTTAGTGGTCAAAGGACGAACCATAAATCATGAGGTCTCAAGATCGAATTTGGGCTCTCCTCAATATCAGATGTATGGGTTGGCGGTTTACCTATGCATCACGTGAGACTAGTCTTAGTCTGGCCAAGGATACCCACGTTTACCCAAAAAAAAAAAAGACTTAAAAGTTTTTAACCAAAAAAAAAATCTTAAAAATTGACTTGGCATTTTTAACATCCTTATGCATAGGGGTGAAACCAGAATTTTCTTGTAGTTGGCATACTATTATTTTGCTGTATTAAATATTATGATATATTTTGCTTCAAAATTTTAGGGAGAGCCCCGTTAAATATCTAAAATATTATAGTATACAATTTTTTTCCCCAAAAGTTCAAGGGGCAGGAGTCTCCCATGTCCTATGGCTATACCTCCTAAAGTTCAAGGGTAGCTGCCCCATGGCTAATGGTTATGCTCTATGATATATATATATATATATAATAAAAAAAATTGAATGAGGTCACGTGCGTTTGGCTGCCCCTACTTATGCAACACTTATTGAAAAATCCAACAAGCCTATTATACAAGTTTTATTTTAAAATACAAAGTCTATTTTATTGTGAGACTTGTGTTAATGAACTGAATCTTGCTTCAAGAGGGTAGAGTTGTCAATTTGTCTCTCAAGTGAGGATACCCAACCCTAGAAAACCTACAAGATAAATGGATTTTTTTGAGCAGTGATAGGTGTAGACACCCCATTTTTGCACGCCCAATGATTTAACTTCAAGTATCGAAGGGTGAACTCCAAGACGAGATCCGGACTCCAAGGTTGAAGCCAAAAACAAACCCAACCCAAACCGAGCCAAACCAGCCAAGACCCAAGGGATAGGGGCCCGTTAAGCATTGCAGTAGG